GAGAGAGAGAGAGAGACGGATTTCGGAAAGCAACGAGAAAGTGTTTTACCTGGTGAACGTGACCGTTCGAGGCCGCGATCGCCGTTAAGCCGATTTACGGGCGCACGTGCGAATGTTCCGCGCGTGGTGCAACGGAGCGGATAATGACATTAAGAGGATCCACAGGAGCTTCCTCGTGGCACTCACGTGTCGTACTGAAGTCTACTCGCGTTCTTCGTCTTCGTCGCCGCGAAGCGCATCACGTTCACGCGCGTCGCGCTGGCAACATGCTCCAAAGCGCATCGCGAGATGTATTCTTGACGAGGATCGCGAAGAACGCGTTTTCGTTGCAGAATTAACACAAGATTCCTTTCCGCCAAGAATTGATTCGTACGTACGAGCTGGTGAATTTTTTCACGGCAATCCGTAATCAATACTTCGATTGGACACAAGGTTCATTTAATAACGTAATGATAAAGTGATGTGCTTTTGTTCCTGCATTTTTTTTTATTCCAACAAAAATATTACGTGTAGTCTGTTGTATTTTTCTGAATCTTTGCTTGTTAATTGTAAATATTTTAATAATATAATTCTTGAAAATAATTATAATATTTTGTAAAAGGGCCGGGGATAGTTTGTGATGTTATTTATTAGAATATTAAAAAAAGTTATTAATATTGGTGATCATAATGATAAATTGATAAATTTATGGTCAATAGATTTATCCTCACGTAATTATTAATATATAATCTCAATATTTTAGATATTATTAATAATGAAAGGATATAATATAATAAGAAATTACAAGAAACAAAATAGTACAGTTAACTATAATAATATCAATTGCACAATAGTTATTTTATGTTACGAATCTGTTTTAGTTATCTGGAGATATATAATGAGAAGGTAAGAGATCTTCTGAAGCCGTCAACGAGTGCGAGCGGACTTAGAGTTCGAGAACATCCTCGACTAGGACCTTACGTTCAAGGTACCGTGAAATGTCGCGCACCGAGTACGTCAGCTAAAATGCCTCGAGGGTCTTCTTATTCACTGTGTACCCAAGTCTACGCTGTTTAAATCTTCTACCCTTATTTCACTTCGCGGCCGGTTTATAGTATTTATTCCACTCGTCGCATTATTACAATCCAATACAGAGATAAATATGGCACGTTAAACATTGTATTATTAAATATATTAATCCTATAAAAATATAATATTTTTTTAACTTTATCGAAATTATTACTTTTGCAGAATAAATCATAAAATGCTGCAATTAAATATGTGTTTGTGGAATTCAATGCTTGGAGTTAATACGATCACTATTGTTATTTATGTAGAAATAAATATTTGTATCAACTTTTAATCGCGTTCACATTATTGATTCTAGAATTGTAGAATTTTGAAATAATGTTGGCACATTTTCAAATTTTAGAATGCTAGTACAATTTTAAGATGTTTAAACATCTTCGAATTTTAGAATGCTGAAATCTTTCAATTCTCGAGATCTTTAGATTAGTTTGACTAAATTTTTGAACGTGTCTTCCACTCATTGTAATAATCTACTCAAACAATCAAACTCTGATACATTTTATAATTAAAGTATCATTGTTGACGATTCTCTCTTAAAACGGATCTTTTTTAGGATTAACGCACCACGTGGTCCGCACACTGGGATCATTGATGTCATACGTGGAGGAAGGCACAAAAGCCAGGAAGACAGCCTCGACACTTCAAAACCCGAGTAGCAGCCGCAGTCACGCTCTGCTGACCGTTGATTTCTCGCAAGACACTGCTGATGCCGAGCGCCCTAGCAGCGGTGACACTTCCTCGTCCTCCTGGAGACAGGACATCACTTCGCGCGGCGGCAGCAGATTGCATTTGGTCGATCTAGCGGGCAGCGAGAGCGCGGCCACCTGCGGCGGCGTTCATCGACTGAAGGTGAGTCATTTCCTAAAAATAATATCGTCCGCCGGAATATTCGCTGGTTGAATTTTGCGCGATGAGAATCGATATTTGCGCGAGCCTTCTTTGCGAACGGATGGAGCCTTATCAATCTCCTCCTGGCCGCCATCGCGCGCTAATGGACTCGTCTAATCGACCGAGTCACTCGCGAAAGTACAAATGTAAAACAAGTGTGACCAAGTATTGCAACAAACTGTTGTGTTGTTCAAGTTGTGTTGTTTCTACTTCTATCTCGACAAAGTAATATACCTATCTCGATCTCTTCGTCACTCGAGTAAAAGTGTGGAGTTAAAGAGATCTAATGTCATGATTCTTAACGCTTTTCTCTCGTTTTCATCGTTAATACAATTCTATGCGATGTGTATTTATTTTCAACATTGACTTTATTTGATAAATTAAGTGAAAAAAGTATTGGCGAAATATAAATTGCAGGCATAGAAAAAAGACAAATATATGTGAACTGATCTATGTGCAATATTGTTTATCGTTATTGTCGATGCGATGTTACATGTCGTATAATTATGCCTTCTAACATACAGAAAGAATCGTCACACGACAAAAATTCCAGAATTATCTGTGGTGGAATTTCTCGTGTAAAAACCAAAGTATGTTTAAAAATTCAATCATTAAACTAATAAATTTCATAAATAAATATACATAAATAAATTTCCGATAAAAACAAAGCACAGTCCTCTTTCAAGTATTATTATTTCAAAAATATGCGAGCAATATTATAATTGAATTTCGTAATATTTTTCGTGACATTTACTTTGATACAGAATCAAATAATTATCAAAATTGATTTTATAAAATTTTAAAATGGTTTTTAAAGTTAAAAATAAAATAAATACCCGATAAATATATCGTTAACAGTCGACGTAATAGCTAATTTAATTTTAACATTATTTCGCTTTATCCTTTTTTTTTTCCTGTCGTTTGCAGGAAGGTGCGAATATCAACAAGAGCCTGGTAGCTTTGGGAAACGTGATATCCGCACTCGCCGAGAAAGGCTCGACCGGAAGTGGGCCAGGCAGAAGATATATCCCTTATAGAGATTCCTCGCTTACTTGGCTATTGAAGGATGCACTCGGCGGAAATGCCACCACCATTATGCTCGCCAGTAAGTGTCTGTCGGTCTTCTCCTTTTGATCTTTCCCCCGCCCCCGTCCATTCCCTTAAACTTGCATTCCCTTCCTTTTTCAACCCTCGCGATCTTATAACGTTCCATCGACATAAAGAGGTTTCCTTCCGGGAATATTCTCCCCGCGTAAATCGCGTTTTGCCGTGTGTATTTTCGCGAGGAAATTATAAGCCCGCTTTTGATCTCAAACTCTCCATTTTAATATCTTTTCTGTTGCCAGAACGACGCGCCGTTCTCGCGTACAGATTGAGATTCCACGATTAATTCGGCATCACTTAATTGACCCTTTTAGCGCGAGCGTTTGCACTTAACCATCGCGCGCTGAAAGGATTAATCGCGACCGGCCGTTGTCAGTCGATCAATGTTTTCCGCGTTCTTCCGCTTTACGCGGTTGGGTTTATCAATCAAAGATTATCCGGATCACGATGTTTTGCTCCGTAAGCTCTGGCCGGCGAATTACGACGAAAAGCTGGCCATTTCTTTCCCTTCCGCAGCGTCTTTCCATAAATTCCGCTAGTTACCGGAGAAGAAGTATTATTCCGAGTCCGCGTAAGATTCGTAAAATTATTCCCATTCGCGATAATCCGGGCTGCATGTAATTGGTTTAAATGCTTTTCCAGGCGAGCTAAGACGCGGAGATTAAATTTCGATAGAGAGAGAAAGAAAAAGAGAGAGAAAGAGAGAGAGAGAGAGAGAGAGGGGGTAGTGACGCGAGGAGCGGTAAATAAAAAGTCTGTAGTGGGCTTGCGACAGTAGCTAAGTGATCGATGCTAATATCTATTGCAAAAGAAATATCTGATATTTCTCTCATAGCATACATTATATCAAATGTTTCTAATAAAAAACTTAATAAGAAGATTATTAGGAACCAATATAAATAAATTAATATAGTTAGCTATAATTAGCGTAAAGAATAATTATTCATAAATAAAGTGTTTTAAATTATCAATTATAATTAAAAAGAAGCAATAGGAAAAATAATAATTAAAAACACGCAGAGAGAAACAAGTTTCGAGTTTTTATGTAAACATGCATCTTCAATTGTATTACTAAAATTTTAGTTCTGTAGAAAGCATGTTAGAAATATTTGGTACTCTCGATCTGATTTTAGTAAACTGATCGTGATTCTACTTTCACCATAGTTTTAGAAGAAAAATTCTTTAAAAGTTGTATTTTTTTATTTTGACTACTATATAATTTTCACGACAAATTTCTGCTAGTTGAAAAATATTGCTCTATACGTAAGTCAGATGGAATTTTCAGAAAATTATTATCGCGCCGTGGATGATAATCAAAATAGCTATTTCAACAGGGAGGCACTATCTTCCCGTAGAAACCTGTTGTAGTTAGGTAAAGCACGTAGAAGATTGCGTTACACTGTATACTAATAGATGAATCTTTTTTTCAACAAGTAAAAGTTGACATCCTTTTCGCAGAAATTGAAACCGAAAAGAGAATCAGAATTTAAAATAATGATAAAAGTACTAACAATTCACGGCACAATTTTATATTACAAATGTGAATTTAAATTTTGAAATTTCGTCATAATATTTCTGTTCCTTTCTTTTTTCTCCCTGATTCAAATTGTAGCGCAATTGCATGCAGTGAAAACTTTGAGGATATGTTACATTCCAAACACGTCAAATTGTTTTGGTATAAAATCTGTACTCTCTACTTTGCCGTTTACTTCGACTCGTTGATCACTGTGATATTTACCTCTTCTCTCGTGATAAAAACCAACAAAATTGACAAAATTGAGCCGGCAGCTGTAGACAGACGTTAATCAAGGGAAGGCGCGCTGATCTTTCCTCTTCCGACTCGTCACAATTAATTACCGAAATGAAAAAGTCGCGATCGCGCGCGATTTGTATAATTGGTCGGGGAACAGCGCGGCACGGCGAGTTTTGCGAATACTTCTAGTCGGCCCGACGACGTGTATAATTAATCGTAGCGAAATATTCCGAACCGCTGATCATCGGCAATTAATTGAATTGCTAATAGCATTTCGGTTTATTATCGGGGGAGACATTTAATATTCAGCGGGCTCACATTTGCGATTGAGCGTAGTATGTGGGATAAATAGACATATATTATACCGCAGAACGCACATTGTCGCGCGATGACGGATTATATATGACGATCTCGACGACACGACGTCTGGAAAAGACACCATCCGTTCAAAATCCATTTCGAATTATCGAGCCCTCAGTAAGCCGCGAGTTATTTCCAGTTGACTTGTCCGCATGGAGTTTCGCTTCGTACATTTTCTTCCGATTAACTCCGATAGATATACCAAGTGGAGACGCGACAGATTCCCACTGTTCAAAGTATCTGATTATCTGTGCAACCACAAATTTATGAATGCAGTGAATTTTATATGTTACTTTTCAGAGCAAGAAACACATTATTTTTATACCAAAAGTGCACGTTTGGAAATAAAGTTTAGTGACTTAAAAATCATTCGCACGGTTTTATAGTTATCTTCGAATAGGCAAACAGTATTTTGCGACATTTTAACAGACATTTTATGACAAGCGCTTACAGTAGATATTCCATTAATCCTTCATTATCAATACTTAATCGCTGATGTACAATTGTAATTGGAATGCAAATCGGTCGCAGTCGCTAATATCAATCAGAAAATCGCACTATAAGAGTTAAATAGCGTAGTTGGAACGTACAGCAGTTTTATCATGTATTTTTGCCACGGACTTCAGTACGAATCTTGTTGTTTCTTTCAGCGATATCTCCGGCCAGCGGAAGTTACAACGAGACCGCACACACCTTACGATTCGCGCAAAGGGCGCAAAGCGTGGTCAACCGACCAGTGGTCAACGAGGATCCCGTGGAGAGACTCATCCGTGAATTAAAGGCCGAGGTTGCGAGATTGAAATCCTTGTTACTGGCAAAGGCAAGAAGTTTATGGATTAACTGTACTCAATTTTTGCACGAATTACGTGAGAAAAGTTTGAAAACCAAATACGGAATGTTACTGCAAATTGAAAAATGCGAGCATTTCAATACGCAAGAAATTAAGAAAAATGTTTCCCACTTTGCGTAACCAAGAAAATGCTTTTAAACTCGCATTGGACGATTAAAACAATTATTTAAAATTTTGTGTATGTACGCGAACTGTACAAGTTTAACTACTAACTTAAATTCCGATAAAATACCAGTTATTTGCGTATTACATTACACATCCGGAATTATTCATCGCGATCAAATATCTCGGGTTTTTAATTTCGCAGAAGTATGTTGATTAAATAAAAATTAGCGCCATTTTCTCGTTTGTCTTCTGACGCGGCGGGAATAAAGAATGGGGCTTGGCAGAGGCGAGGCTGGAAACTCGAAAGGATTTAATCCCCGACTTGATGTTGATCGAGTGATTTTATAACGCGGCCGAAGGTTCGTATGCTACTGGCGGAAAATATTAATGAGTTTCGAGCGGCGCGCGATTGGTAATAGCGCCGCATTATAAAACAAATTTCGTAATTTCACCCGACGTGGAACGCGGCGGATCCGCGATAAATAGCGGCCGATTTTTCAGCCGCGTTTTAACTCGCGCGCGAGGATGCGGGAGTTTATTATCGGGAGTTTGCCAATACGGTGCCGGCGATATTGTCCGATGTCATTACGCAAATGAGATTCATTGATCGTTTATTTGACACTTATTGAGAGCCCGTTGCCGAGCGATTGGCCAAACGATTGCTGATAAAATATAGCGTGCGTTACGCTTAACGAACGATCCGCGTTTTCATTTCCATCAGGCAGACGCTATTCTTCATTTCCGCACGTTGCATAATCGCATATTTAAATTACTCATGCTTCGTCCGCAATCGCAGCCTCATTCCCACGGGCCTCCGTATTGTATTTCAAACACGAGATAACATGTTTTATCCACACAGAATAATGTCCTTTTTAAAGATATATACAACAATTGTGATGCACATATTGCAAATGAAAATGTAAAAATAAAATGTTGATAACTGCTTCTTTTGTCCAAAAGTGGATTACAAATACAAATTGACATGATTTAAATATTGATTTTGTAATTCAATTTCAATAAAAGCAGTTATTATAAATTTTAATTATACATTAAGTCTACAGTAAACAATATTTTGAAAACATTATAAAAAGAAAATTAAACTCTAGTTGAAGAATTCATCAAGAAAGTGTCAAAAGTTTGATACATATCGAGAAATTCAAATGATACAATCTAAAAAAATTTTTCTGTGCGAATATTCGTTCTCAACTTAAATTAAAATATAGTTGATTATACGAATCTGGATTTGCAGGATATCGACCAGCAAACGAAGCGCCGTGTTGCTGCAGCAAAGTTCAAAGTTCAAAGGATTCGGCGACGGATCCTCAGTATTGCGGGGAATCGGAATCACTCAACACCTCGCACTCCGATTTTGAGAACGAATCTGTACAATTAAAGAACGACAGCTCGCTCGATGTGCTTCCGATCAGGAGATTCAACTCCAGCGACAGCATAACGACTTACGAAACCGGCTCTTCAGGATCTATCAGAAAATTCAATTCTTACGAGCATCTGCAGTCTTCGGGCCGTTTCGCCGACAATTATAACCAGGCCAAGGTCACCGAGTTAAACGAGGAGGAAGACGAGGTGGTGAACGAAATCAACGAGCCAGTCTTTGTGGATATACCGACGCTAGTGGCCGTTCTAATCAAGCCCGACGATAATCTGCAAGAATCATCAACGCAGATCGAGGAAATCTGTTCCGACGAAGTGCAAGAAGATTCGATCGACGCCGATTTCATACAAACCGGCAACGAGGAGTTCGACGAACCGGAGAAGATCGACGACGTTGATCCTGGCGAATGCAGCAATTCGACGAATTCTTGCAACGCTTTGGCCGACTCGGAGATCGGCGAGCTTCAACAAATTCCGTTCGAGTGTCCTCCCTCAAGTCCGGCGTCTGTTGAGAACCGTAGATCGCGAGGTAAATTTAGCAAGCAACACTCGGTTGATTTGCCGTCGTTGAATTTAAACGCTTCAAAAAAGTTCGGCTCCATCGAGAGGATCAGCAAGAAGAAAGAACCGACATTTGATCTACAGCGGTCGCACACGAATTTGGAGAAACGTCCTGCGCTGTCCGATCGAGGGAAGAAGCTCAACAACATCCGCGAGATTGACGATCGCAAAGCAAACGCTAAATCGGGGAGTATCTGGAAGGCAATCGGTAACGTCGGTAGCAAGGATCATCTACAGAGAAAAAGCAGCAACGAATCCGACAAGAGCCTGAAAGACTCCAACAGCGGCAGGACAAGCAGCTACAGCAGCATCGGCAGGAAGCCAAGTTTAGAGAATTTAAAGAGAAAGACTAGCAAAGACAGTAGCTCAAGCAGCTCCAAGGAGGAGCAGATTCTGATCTCGAGCTTGACGCGTGACAAGCTATTGCGCAGGAAGAACTCCTTGGATCAGGAAGCGGCGACAGCGGGCGGCGTAAGGCATCACACGGCTATTCAACGAGTGAAGCGTGCCGATATCGTCGCGGCTGTCACGGAGAGACTCTACTCTAGTAGGAAACAGATCGAAGAGACCAGCATGGCGGCGAACAACGCGTCGGGCATGCGTTCGCCACCGGAGGGCACCGATGTGAAAATATCGAACAGTTTTATGGCGCGATCGCGGCTGCAGGAAATCTCGCGAAAGATGCTGATGAAGCGACGAAGGATCAACGTGGACACGCAGACGGAAACGGCATCGACGTTGCGCTTCAAAGACACGGCTTGTTTAACGGACGAACCCAAGATAGTTCTCCAAGACGCGGCGGTTCTCACGGACAATCACATGGATTGTGACGTCACGACGACTTCGACGGATCATCGACTGCCTGTTCTTAGGGTGAAGGACATGGCTACGTTGACGGATCGACGACCGCGAACTAACATTTTTCGCTGCAAGGACGCCGAGAGTTTGGTTAACGATCTCGATTTTGACGACTATGAACTGCACTCGCCGCGAAATGACTCCGGCGTGCTCTCTGACGACACGCAGAATTATGCCGAGAGCAATCTATCCAGCGCTGAGGTGTCCGAGCTTTATCCGGAGGGCGACAGAAGAGCGCCGTGCACAGACAGTTCGACCAACACGTTCCTCGCGTCGCCCGGCAGGAGCACAGCGGTGCAAACTGCGCGCCCGGAAGCGACGGGTAAACGGAAGGAGAATCCGGAAAGCAGAAGCTGCAGTCAATGCTGCAGTTTGCTTCACGAGTGCGATCAACAGCGCGCACCAGCGAGTAATCTAGAGAAGAACGTCATCTCTATATCTTTACCGGACATGATCAGCATAACTATAGAGAGCACGAACGGTTTAGAGTCGAGGATCGCCGTAATGGACGGCAGCGATGCCGTGGAAGAGAGAGCGAAACCCGTTTTCAATGACAAGGAATGTCAGACGGATCAACTAATTAAAAAAGAAGTTGAAGATTCGTTCTTAAATGATCTTACGGTCAGATCAACAGCTATTCAAGCGGACGGCAGAGTTTTCAGGATCGAAAATATTTTCCAGGATCCGAGAAGCAAAAACTGCGACGTTGTTTCCGATTTGAGAAAGGAAACAAAATCGGTGACCTTCAGGAATTCCCTGGGTACTTCCTCCGTCATTGAGACGAAAGAGAGCGGCACGGAGACGGAATGGAATGAAATACATGTTGAGGATATTTATCAAAGAAAGTGGCCGATCCCGAAGGGAAGTTTAACGCGAGCTTTCATCGCCAAGAGACGCAGCCACAGTTTGAGTCCGAAAAGACCGATACACAGGCTTGGCCATCATAATGTTTGGAAAAATTGGACTCTTCCGTGCCCAGAAAAATTCTCAGAACTTATCAATCATAGCAGAAAGATGAGAACTGTGTCATTTTCTACAAAAAAAGATATTGATTTAACGAAAAGTTTGCTTTCTTCTTCAATAAACAGCGAATGCACTTCTAACAATGAAATTCTAGAAGAAACGACTCAGGAATCATCCAATCAGAATTCCAGAAGCGACTTCAAGAACTTGAAGAAATCGAAATCTCTTTCGATAAATAATCTTTTGGATTATGATTATAATTTTTCGGACGACAGTCTCGACTACGATGAAGACGATGTTGCGATGGAGTCAGCTGATGTAAAAGCAATGGATTCGAACGATCGTAAGTATTGTGAAAGTTTTTGTCCTCCGGATGTTGTTGCTCACACAAAAAAGGAAGCCTCGAAATCGACATATCACGTGGATTCGGCGAATGTCGAGTCTTCGACGAACATCGAGTCCTCGACGAATGACGATTTCGATGATATCGAGATAGAGTTGCCGAAGAGAAAACCCGCTGAAATATTAGATACGAGTCCTATGCAGGATTACAAGGAGCTGAGCTTAGGCACGTCATCGTATGTCACAGATAGCGATTCTGAAGAAGCAAATGTGAAAATGACCAATCACTCTGATAATGTCAATAGGAAAAAAGTGTCCTTTTCGAATCCCAGCAGCCCCGAGGAGATAACTGACACTATGATCAATCGCGAGTCAACCACGGTCAAGCAAACCTCGGAGGTAGCCTTGAAATCTATTATCAAGAAAATTAAGAAGAAGAGACTGGCTGTGACCGAAAACTTGGACATCGTCCAACCGAATACCGAGATTGACCAGTTTTTGCAGCAGAAAAAGACAGAATCGACGGAGAGCGACGGAAGTCTTGTCTGCCTTGAAGGAGGAAGAAAATTCTAAAGATTCCGAGAATTCGAGCGATAAGAAAGTGGAATTTTCCAATAAAAATGATTTCGAAGAGCTTTTCTACGGATCGGACAGTGTTACTAACAATCAGGACAATCGCTCTTGCAAAGCGCCGAAGAAAAATATATTTGAGGAGTATTTAAATGAAGCAACGATTTTCATGCGCAACATGAACTCTATGAACGAGTACATGAATGCCACAAACGTGCAGAGCTACGGAAAGCGTCACAAAAAACGAAACAATCGTCGCGGAAGCAATCCAAATACAAGTAGAGATTATATAGAGATTCGCGGGCGTAAAATAAGCCTGAAGAACGACATTGACAAATATCTGCAGCCGTATGAAGACGAAATCGCTGTCGAGTCCTACGAGAAATGTCTGAGAGGCATCGAGAGATTGGAGGCGTGCATCGACAAAACTAACAAGCACAATCAAATTCTTCGGGACAGGTACGGCATCGGCGTCGAGTCTGCTGGCGCTAAATCGAGTTTAGCGAGTCCCAGCGTAGATTCCAGAGTGTCCAGCGTCAATGATAGCGCGATTCGCCGACGTGGGGATGTAATTTCCGGCGTTGAGAGTTGTGATAAGTTGAGTCTTTCCACGATTTCTTTGCCCCTTTTGTCTTCCATTCGAACTGACGTCACGAAGCGATCTATGCTCAACGAGGTAGAGAAACTCAAAGCTGTCACTACAGTCGATAAATATGATTCCGATTATAAGAACAACAATATCACACCCGAGGATGATCTCGAGCGCGAGATCTTCGATCAGCTGATGCACGCGGCCGATTCCAGCAAGTGCCTCAGGCAATCCGGACGCCTCGCGAAAACGTCCGATTTTGGATCGCGAAGCCCGACAACTTATTCCAAGTTTCGGGAGACTTTTCGACAGGACGCTCGCAGAATTCTTAATTTCGACGAAGTTTCCGCTGTTGAAGATTATCTTGGTGACATTCGCGGAATCGAGAATAGCCCTGAAGCTTTTAGGAAAACGCTACTTTCGGATCCAACAGATATTGACTCGGGGACATCGATCGATTCTGAGATCGATCCTAAAGAATTCTGCGATCGCAATGAATTGCCAGAAGAAAACGGTAATCTGCTGAAAATCGATGTGACGGACGAGACGACAATCTTCGAGACAAAGATGGAGTATCCCGATTGTATGATAGATTCCGTGAGATCGATCGACGCAGAACAAACATCCTACACGGAAGAGATTGCGCGGAGAAATACGCAAAAATCAAAGGATAGCTTAAGGATGGAATCAATGAATTTCAGATTTGGTGGACCTTTGAGCATAGAATTAAAATATCCTAGCAGTCCAAGGGCAAAATTTTTGGAACTTCTAAGAGAGAGGAGACGAATCGTAGAAAAAAGTAGAGGTATGAATGCGTTTTGAAAAAATGGTCTGAGATGGTCACTCCTCATAAATAATAAATCTATTTTTCACATATATTTTGTATTTTGACAAGTATAAAAAAGAAAATAATTAATTTATAAGTAAAAAAATAATATAATTTGTAAGTATAAAAATATATTGAATAGAAAGAAACTTGTAAATAACAATATCATAAAAGTAGTTGTTTGATTTAACGATCTATTTTTACTATATAGTAATGTATCTCGGTATTTAATGATTGTATCGATAATTATGCACAAAGTATTAATGGACCTTGAATTTTTATAAATATGTATTATAATTTAATATTGTTTTCTAAATGCGTTGTTACATTTAATATTTAACAATTTTACTTCAAGTTCTCAATTCTTTTATATTTGATATTAAACTTCACAAAATTTTCAAATTTTAGAAATTTTTATTCAAAGACCGTTAATACTTTTCACATATTACAATTATTAAATAAAAATAATACTTGTATATAATAATATTATAATAATAAATAATGTCTTATATTATAATCACTTTCTTTTCGAACTAGTGACGCACGATTGCCTGCTACAAATTTTTATACGACTTCTATCATAAAAATGAGTAAAATATTTCAATATTAATATTAATCTAAAAATCTATAGTTCAATTTATCAAAATCATTATGTTTAAGAATCATCTTTATGAGTAATGTTTGGATCCTTTTATTTTATTGTCTTATCAGTATCACTGTATCTTATTTCTTTATTATAAAACATAGCAGATAGCAAATATTTAAGAAATATATTCGAAAAATAAGTTATTTTAAACCTAATTGCGTTATATTCAAGCATTGTTCTCAAATCACTTCGTTTATAGTCAAATATGTAATGTAATGTATATTATACAACAAATACACATTAGTATTACGATATTGTGTCATTAAAGTAACAGAAATAACGTTGTATTATTCATTAAATTGTTTAATAAAAGCTATTTTATGAAATAATAAAATAACAAGAATTAATATGTATTGTATTACAATTTAATTTATTTAAAAAATTAGCAAATTCTATAGAAATAGTTATTCATATTATTTCTTTATTTTATTTTTTATGCGTGTGTATTATATATTATTATATTTCACTGATAATTCAGTAAATGCTTCAAATTTGAAACTGTTATTAATTTATATATTTAGTTTTGTTTTTTTTAACATAGCTGATTTTATTCTAATAAGGCTCGGTTTGCGGTTTTCAGGTAAGTGAAATACATACAGTTGTCAGATAAAATTGTTGAAAGAAAAGATGGAATAAAAAATTAGTGTTGCTTAACGAATCCAATGATTTCAATTTTATTGACTTATTTTTCTCATTGTCAGTTTTTTACAGCATAAACCACTCGATAAGCAAAATCATCGAAAGATTTTTGTCACTTTGCGAAAATGGCACGTATCGTGGCAGGATTGGCGCGCAAATACGTAATGTGCTCTGTCATCAAAATACAGCAGGTAAAATTTGATTGCGAAGGGACGCGGAAGCTGATAATTGTATCGCAATCACTATGCGAGAAGTGGATTGCGTTTCTAGGCCTCCTCCTCCTCCTCCTCTTTCTCATCGATAAAGACTGGTCCGACACATATGCGCGCGGCACGTTCTGAAAACTGCCGGCACGTGCCCCGTGCTTCGCTCATCGTATTTGCCTTTGATGCTGATGCAAGCGTAACGATGCTCGTTTATGCTCGCACACACAGTATGCAGATAGCTCAGCGAAGCCGGCAAAAGACACGCGTTGATGGCTGTGAATTTATGCATACGTAAAGTCTCGCGTTTTTTTTTTATCTGCATTTTGCGACAGAATTATTCGGACTGGCTATGCTTACGATCACGTGTAACCAATTTTTTTCTTTTTCAAATGACACTTTGTAAAGTATTTACAAATTCAAATTTCACGATTTTAATAAAAAATATCATGGAATCATTAAAACATTACTCAATAGTATAACTTAAAATAAAAAAGTTAGTTGCATTAATATTTAAGAATTATGATTAATGACTAATTAAAATAATACAAAATTAAACACAACTACTTTGCAGAATTTTAACAGCACAAACAAGTGGCAAAATCAATAAAAGTTAAAAGTTAAAGAGCTTAAAAATAAAAATTATCTACATTTATAGAACGCGAAAATAATAAAGTTTGTACATGTTTCACATCACTTATTTTCTCTCAGAGCTTAGAAACAACACAATAATGCCATAATTATTTTCACGGAGCTTATAGAGACAACACGATTATACCGCGAAGAAAACAAATAAAAACGTTGGAAAAGGTTGAAAGTGTCTTGTGTTGACGATAAGTTCGTCTGTTCTTCTTGAAGAGAGCATCGATTTTCAAAAAGAACCAAGTCGAGTTTGATATCACATAGTGCAGAATTATCTCCAATTATTTCATCTAAAGAAAATGAATATTTCGCCGAAGAAAAGAGCAGATAAGGTACGATACGTGTGATTACGATTTATTTTGATTATGAAAAAGACTTTCATCTTTCAAAAAATAATTGTTATTCCAAGTAATACTGAAATAACGGATAAAATCAACTTTGCAGCGTTTCAAATAAAAGATAAAATTATCGAAACGCCTTGCAAGGTAAGAATATTTAATTTTGTTTTCAATTAGCACTTGGCAAAATTGGAAAAAGTTGATAATATAAGATATTAAGTATATTACACTATTTACTTATTATATGAAAATTTAAAAAATCTCAGAAATTCAGAAATTCTAGGATCTATATATACGTGTAATATGCAAAAATAAGAAATATCAATAAAGAAAGTCTGATCTCAAAATCAAATATATTAACAAGTAATTTAGAATAAATCTAATTATTAATAGCATAAATAAAAAGAATAAAATATATTACACAAGAGAAAATAAAATCTAAATGCTAAATTGACTACATGGTAATAGTTAAAATATTGTTTAAAGAATCAATGAATATTAAATTAAATCTAATAATCTAATGTGGTTACTTTAGGAATCACACTTGTTGGACAACATGGGTATCATACTTTATATGAAGAAAGAGTTTCGCCAAGTCACCAACAGCTTCAAAGCACGCGGTATACTTTATGCTCTGCTGAATCTTTCGGACGCACAAAAACAAAAAGGTAGTAATAATGGCCTCGATAGGTAATCACGCATTGTCTCTTTGTCATTACGGAGATAAGCTGAAGATACCGGTAACAGTGGCGCTGCCAAAAATAACGCCAATGACGACGGTCATGGACGTGTCAGGAATATGATCATGTAAAAGTGCACATTGAGGGTGACAATTTAATAGAATCTCTATCTATTGCAAGCATCAACCGAGAAACTGCATTACATTGACGGGTAGCTATCTAAATTCTTGAAATATTGTCGTTAAAAAAATATTTTCATAAATGTCTTCTCTGTCTAATGAATTTAATTCTATTTTATATCATTATTTGTTAATCATATATCTTATCGTTCCAAGAAATTTTTGTGTTAATCTTGATAATAATTTTTCCTTATTGAAACTTTTGAAACAGATACGACGATCTGGATGTAATTATTGGCCAAGGAACTTTAGGCTTGGAAATATGCAATTAAGTCAATAATATCGATGCGGTGGTGGTACCTTGTGATGGTGGTGGATTATTAGCGAGTATTGCATTGGTTATCAAACGACATAGTCCATGGGTGAAAGTTTACGTAAGTTAATAGTTGTCAACAGATTATTATTTTACATTTCAATCTAATTAGTTACTTGAGTGTTCGAAGAAAAGCCAATTAAAACAAAAGACAATTATAAGATAAAAATGTGTAAATAATAAATTATTCTAAATATTAGGGAGTCGAAGCAGAGAACTATTCAAGTTTTAGAGATGTCTTCAATGAGAACAAAATGCGTGAAACAAGTATAAAAACCAACATAGTTGATGAACTAGCAGTCCCCACAGTCGGTTCTAAGGCATTTCATATACTTGTAACTGCAGCACGCTGGAAAAAATTGATCGATGGTATTTTCGCCGTAAAATACGAATGGATAGCAAACGCGATTGTACAGTTATTTGAAAAGAAAAAATATATCGTCGACGGTGTTGGAGCGATCGGTTTAGCGTTTATGTTATCTGAAGAGCTCTTAGACGAATTGAAAGGAAAACGGTAAATTTTTTTTGTAAATTTGATAATTTTTTTTCCAAATTATTTATACTAGTATTTATTTTTCATATTTTTCAATCTTTAACTTTGAAATTTACATTCCGCATCCGATAGTAAAAATTGTGATGTAAATATTTCCAATTAAATTATGATAGTCCATAGAAATTTCTAATATTGTAATTTTATGTGCATCAGAGTGATGATAATATTGGCCAACGGTAATATCAATACTACTGTCCTGTCTAAATGCCTGGGACGAGGATTAGCCTATCAGGGTCGCCTCATAAAAGCTACGTTGCAAACCTCGGAATTGCTTTTCTCCAAAGCAGAACTCTCCAAGTTGTTAAAAATGATGAACATTTCCTTATTGAAAATCACGTACGAGCCAGTTTGGTCAACATCGGATATGTTCAGCGTCGATGTTCGGATTATTTGTGAGATTCAGAATCCAGAACAAGTCGAAATGCTAAGAAAAGTTCTCTTGCAGAAATACAAACACGTGAATATAAAATACTACGTAAAGTATGTTATATATTATGTGTAGAAATCATATCATATTAATTGTAAGACAACTATTAGTAATCTGTTATATTTATTATGTCGAACGATTTGCAATAATATTAAAAACGTTTTATTGTCGATGCATAATTAATAGCAAGTATTGTACATTTATGCATATATCGCCGCCAATTTATTTGTTACATTAATTTATCAGCTAAATGAAATTAATTTGACTAATTAACCGTTAAAGCCGATTAAAAATTAGTTCTTGTTTTCAAATGTTGGAAAAATTTTAGTAAAAATGTGATTAAAAATTATGCATTAAATAATTCAAACAACGAAAATTTGAGAAAAAATTTTAAAATATTTCAATAATTTTAAATGTATAATTCTTTGTAAAATTTAATTAACATAAAATATGGTAGTAATTAGTAATTAGTAATTTTAGTAATTTAGTAATTTTTAGTAATTTTAGTAGTAGTAATTTTAGTAATTTAGTACTTAGTAATTTTTTATTACATTAATTATCTTTCTTTTGTTATATATTTCATTTTCTGCGAATAATAAATTTCAAAAATATTCATTATGTCTAATTGCTTCTAATCTCAATGATTTACTTGTAATACAAAACACTTAATTGTAATTAAGAGTCTTCTAAGTAAAGCAATTCTATTATATGCCTATCATAAATCTTTCTTTAGATCGATCGGGAACGATAATCGAGTAGCGACGCGCAGATAAATCATATATGTTCGTTGTTTTATGAACTTCAAATTAAAACTTACGTAATAAAGCAAGTGACCGATATTTGCTTCATTGTCGCCTACAAGTTATAATATAAATCCATGACTTGATTGTTTGATTGGGCGAAATTCTCGGCGTCGATTTGAAATTTTATGCAACAATGCTCGAGTACGTGGCCAACGTCGCGTTATTTTTCTTTCGTTATGTTATACGCGAATGATTGGATTTTTGCGTAAGCTCGCCTGGCCACGCATCTCGCTT